TTCTTCTATTGTATAGTTTGAAAACAAGCATTAAAACTTTCATAAGTTAATCGTTTGATCAGCCAATCAAATCTTGTGACAAATTGTTCTTAAAATTGTTTTGAATGAAGTGAAAGGTCAAAGAACAAATATTCGGACAGTACATAAAATAAAACTGAATCAACATAGTTACTGAAACGAGAAAACCAAGGGCGGATTTTCATTCATTTAAAAGGAGAGGTGGAAAATCTTTGCTATTGCCTTCGTAAAAGAAGTAAAAAATCTTTTAAAGAAATATCGATAAGTAGATAGGCAAACTCTTCACTGTGGGAAACTCCAAATATCAACATGAACAAAAAACCTTTATTGCAAGTTGATAGTTCAAAAGTTAGTGGATTCACAAGTTATACGAAGATACAACAACAAAAGTTTACAAATGCCTAGCAACAGCTGACATAGAGACATGAAATTTCAGAAAAATCCGGTTTTCTCTGCCGAGTGGACACTCACTCGAGTGGACAGTTAAAATTAAGGTTATCCGATGGATAGCTATCCACCCTGCTATCTGACGCTTCATACAATAAATTTTTATTCAGCAGATAGCTATCCATTGGATAGGAAATTTATCCATTGAATAGGACTTATCCACTGGATAACTTATCCACCTTTCCGCTTTCGATAAGGGCCTTCACTTAAAACGTCAAAGTTGTCCTTGTATTTTTCAGGTTGTCAGGTACAGGACAGGTAGTTGCATCCCTATTAAATTGACGTTTCATTTCCAAGTGTAGTTTTAGATTCCTTCAAATTCGATGAAAAATTGGGCAGGGGGTGAAAATTGTCAACAGACGGTGTTGCGTACTGTATCTTGTGTACATCTACTAATAGAATATTAATAGAATCTACTGACCTGAACATGATTGTTGATTGTTCTAAATCACTTCTAATATAAAGCTCTATCATACCTACCAAGTCTCAGGCATTATGAGTGAGACACATGCCTCAGCATATTTTCTCACGTTCACATGTGCAGTATTATTTATCTCACACGTGAGCTGCTTTGGCTGCTTGTGATTGAAGAGTTTAATAAAAAAAACGTAAATCTGGAGAGCAATGTTAACTTTGGAAACCTGTGAAATGTTTTAGCATTTAGTTTTTCTATTTTACACTATGAAATTAGTCAGTAAATTCATCTGGTGAATACAGTAGAGTGGGTAGGTGTTTATTATCACTGTGAATTTGCTGTCAACACCTCATTTGATGCCATAAATTGAGCCTATTTCTGGTGTGTAAATGCTATCTGATTACAGTATCCAAGGTGCAGCAATGGTGAGTAAATCGGGTCTTGGGAATGAAACGCTGGAAATTCCATATCAAGGACCCAAATTTTTAAAATTTTCCGGGGGCATTAGGTTGCGTCCGTAGATGGTGTCTCACACATGCACTCCACCTTGGCAGCTATGCTCTATGTAGTAGTCATGTCTGCCACTGAATTAAATTGTATTTTGAAATTATGATTATGACATTGCTAAAAGGTGATTTTATTTTATTAACACCTTATAGACTACCCTGGTTCCAGAGGTTTAAAATAAACCTCTGGTTGAAAGCGGCAATTGATTCATCGAGCCGCACCAATAAGTTTGAATTAGGGTCAGATCATGACTCTGTCTCCTGATTGGAGGATTGTATTAAAGCTCTCTGATTGGTTATAGATATTTTATTTGAATCAATCAGAGAGCTTTAATAATCATCCAATCAGGAGACAGAATAAGGATCTGACCCAGCCTAGTCCCAGTCGTTCTGAAGCAAGCGTGAGAAAAAAATGTGGATGTACTACGAGACTGGGACCTAGGTGTGACGTCACCGCTAAAGGTGCTTCAGAACGCCTTCCAGATTTCAGTATTTTTAATATGGCGGAAAATTCATATATACAAATAACCTTTGCAAATACGACAATGTTCGTTGATCATGTTCGATGTCTACATAACCAAATTCAAACTGTATTAAAAATGTGCTCAATTAAAACAATTTATATACAAATTTACGATACTGAGTCTGAGCAATGGTCGTATAATGGTTGATGTTATTTATACACTTATACTCGCAAGTTGTGATCAACACTAGACCATACTGGTATACACCACTACGCTTTCTACTTGACAGGTTTATATAGCTGAGGAGATAGGAAATATTTGCCTGACATGACTGTGTTGTCTTTTAGTCAGAGACTCGGCATAATTTTCAAGCTTCTAGATAGCATTTAATATGGCTTTATATTTTAGTAAACACGAGTCATATTTAGCCCGTTATTCCATTCTGACTGTATGGTAGCGAAACGTAGCCTACTTCATTGTTCCGACAGCATTAGAGCAAAACTAATGACTTAATTATAAACGCAAAAAAAATCCATAACGTTTTCTATTTACAAATGCGGTATGCTTGGTAACCAGGCCAGGGACCACTTTTTTGAAATCAGGGACCATTTTACCGAAATCTGCTAGGCTCTCTCACTGAAGCGTTCCGCACAGCACACCCAGGCATAAAATTTTTAAGACTTATTTAAATATATCAAAGCAGCGAATAGAGAGAGAGCCTGGGACTAGGCTGGATCTGACCCTAATTCAAACTGATTGGCACGGCTCGATGAATCAATTGCCGCTTTCAACCAGAGGTTTATTTTTCCTCTCCCCTTCGCAATGAAAATAATAAAAATAAACCTCTGGAACCAGGGTACTTATAAGCGTATATAAAACATTGCAGTTTAATAAATTCAAATTGATTATATTTTTTAATATTAATATTGCGTACGAATAATACAGGGGTGAGGGGTTGCTCTTAAAACATGAAATTGGTCGTTCATCTTTCTTAAAGAACAAGAAAATAGATCTCACTAACCTTATGTTTCATTCCTTTAACCTTTTCTTCAAACTCTTTCTGTTTTTCGGCATCTAAAGCCAAACTTTCCTTTACTTTTTGCACTTTTTTGGTCGCCATTTTGAATCCTCACGTGTGGCCAGCGGTACGATTTGTGGGCGCAACTCTCGACAGCTTTGTGTTGTTGCCATGGTAATAATTGAAAGATAAACAAAACAAGAGAGAAATTTGTGAAAGTTGAACGAAAAATGGCCAAGTATGTTATCGCCGGTAAAGCCGATTGCCCGTTCTTTGCAAAGGCAGAAATGCTTGCAGATGAACTGCAAAAAGTTCTTATCAATTTCAAAGTGCACAAGATAGCGGTCAGCCCTGAAAATTGGCCGGGATGGTTGAAGCAAACTTGCGAAGAGCACCAATGGAAGCACACTACATCTCCACTAATTTGGCGTGAAATAGTCGATAGAGGAGGCAAAGGATTGTACCTCGGCGGCTGTGACGACTTTATGGAAATGGCCGAAGCTTATTACGGAATACGGTCGACGAAAATGAGCGAAGAGTTAGGAGCAATTTCCAAAGAAAATATTGCCACGAAACGAGTTCTAGACGAGGAAGAAATCGAGGCCCTGAAAGCCATTAATCCTTTGAGAATCACCATCACTGCAGCTGCTTCGCCAGTCAATTATATCGTGTTAAATTCCTTGCTTAGCGGAGAAATCTTCGGGTTCGAGCAAGACTTGAGTTTGACATTACTAGACACCCCTGAGCATCAGGAAGCTTTGTCAGGCGTGGTAATGGAAGTGATTGATTGTGCTTGGAATTTACTCAGAGATATTTCTCAAACGTCAGACACCACACAAGCATTCAAAAACGCTGATCTTGTTTTAGTACCAGACGCAGACTGTAGCACTGAAGATGTGGATATTTTGGTGCAGAATGCCATAGTGTACAAGCAGTATGGGGAATTGATTGAAGCAGATGCAAAAAAGAATGCTAGAATCCTTGTTTGTGGAAAGACTGCAAACTTATTAGCCAGTGTGATCTCTGCATTTGCCCCATCAATTCCGAAGAATAATATTTACGCCTTATCAAGGTTACAAGAAAATCGTGCCAAGGCAGTCTTGGCCAGGAAATTGAAGGTCAACTCTTGTGGAATCACTGACCTAATTGTCTGGGGTTGCCCTGGCAATGATGGCTTGTTTGACATCAGCATGTCACAAGTGAAGGGTTATGATGGTGCAATATGGGCACCACATATTGAAACCTTTTCACGGTCTGTTGTCGAAATGATTTATGACCACAAGTGGGTTGCGACCGAATTTCTTGAGGAGGTAAATAAGCATGAGGAATCCCTTAAAGAGGAACACAAGTTTTCTCCAAGTTTGTCAGCAGGTGTGGCTATCCTAGATTTCCTTAAAGAATGGTGGCAAGGATTAGCCAACCAGATGACTTCATTAGGGGTCATATCCAAGGGATGGTATGGTGTTCCAGAAGGTCTTGTGTTTTCATTCCCAGTAAAGTTTCAGGATGATGAGTGGCACGTTATGGATGATTTAGACATTAGTGACGATGTATCGTACCGAATAAAACAAATTGGAGAGAGTTTGAAAAACAAGACTGATATGGTGATGCAAATTCTGACAAAGTCATAAATGGTACACTTATGTAATTTATCAATGTATAATGTTACATTACTATATATATGTAGTGCATTATTGAATGGTATTGACTATTGTTCAAGGTTTTTAATGATTTAAGGTGGCTCCCTACAGTTGTAAAGAAATATCAGCAAAAAATAAGGTCTTCACAATAACGCAAAATATTTGTTATTTATGTGAAATAGTTAAATTAAGTTTTTTGGAAGTGGAAACGTTTGTGTAATTTTTATACTTCAAGCATAATTGTTTGAAAATTGAAAGAAGCAAATTGTTTGAACATTGCTATTGTAACAATGTGGCCTTAAGCCTGATTTCCACTAGGCGGAATTTTGCGCGCGGAGCGGAATTTTTCTTTGTCTTGTGATTTCTCAGGTGGAACTAATTAGAAAAGACAAAGAAAATTTCCGCTGCGCGCGCAAAATTCCGCCTAGTGGAAATCAGGCTTAAGTGACAGCAGAGAAAGGTCAAATTTTGGATTAAAAATGAATTTATTACTGAAATTTTGTCGGTGTAAGGGGAATATCTAGTGGAAGATTATATCAAAACATTAGGGGGGGGTTATAATTCAAGTTTTAGATATTATGCAAAATATTTTGAAAATAGAGTACTGGTATATTGCAACAAATGGCTAGTACTGTACTTTTAAAATACAACATTTCAGAAAGATTGATCAAAGTTTTTGCATTACAAACCTTGCGCGGTCAAATGAAATTTTTGCTGATGTGATAAAATTTCAACTCGGCCAGGGGCGTAGGAAGCATCAAAAGATTGGGGGGGGGGGCACCGGCTTCCAGGGTGAAAAGGGCACCTAAAAAAATTTCCCTGGAAAATTTTCCCGTCTTTCTATACTGAAATTGCACTTTTCATCACAAAAAAGGCACTTCTGGTCCTTTGAAAAAATCCCCCCTCCCCGTTCCTACGACCCTGAACTCGACAAGATCACGTCATTTCGTTACCAGTCTCATGCTTAAACAACTATAGGGAGCCACCTTAAACATACAGTAGTTACTGTTTTGCCATATTTCAGTATATGCCATATTGTCTGATAGAGTGGCAGCTATTAAGGACTTAAAGCCGCATGTGCTAGGCTGAGTATGAATACAATCATTGACAATGTCGATTATAACGGTCGGCAATCGGCTATTTGCCGTTCAAGTGTTCAACAACAACACTAAATGGTCGATTAATTATTTTGCACCGATATTCTAATTATTTTTTTAACCTAGTCCTATATAGTTTCACAATATGATATATCAAAATAGCTGCGGTTTAAGGAGCACTATATACTAGGCGATATGTAATTTGGAAATGGTTATCAAATCAAGTCAAGAATACACGTTGTATATAGCTAGTCAAGAATACAGGTTGTATAAAAAAGTGTTCCAAATTTAAATATTGAGTGCAAACTTAAGATCAGTCAATTTTTCTGTGCTATTTTTTAAAGACTAAGGTTTTAACCATTGATTGACATCTTTTTTGTATCATTCCATGCAAGCCAGCAAAGATGACCAAATACGAGGCTACGAGCCCATTGAAAATTGCCGGTTTGTCGTTATTGGATATATTTTCAATAGTTTTGCACCCAATTTCCCAAGGGTGGAAAAAATGCGTCAGCAGTTTTTTTCAATTTCTTGGGTTCACAATTTTAGCATGTACTTGTTTTCTATTGTAAAAGTGTTGAATTCAGTTGGGTTACCGGAAAATGAAATTCGTAGTTTGTCAGTGTTCAATTGCACGCTTTCGATCCATTTCGTTTTAGACTGTTCAGATATTTAATAGACTGTTAGTTGCGGCATGAGCTTCACCGCATTAGTCTTTCAGTAACAACTTCTGAAGCCATGATATCATCAGCGCACTTCCACACTCCACAGGTTGTGGTAATTAAATTTTTTCAGGTCATGAATCACCTGATAAAAAATTGGTGACAACCTTTACCTGCATGTGCAATTACACACGTAAAAACGCACAAGTTGTCACAGGTCTGCAAACAAGTTGAAACAAGTCTGTTCACAAGCTGTCGACAAGTTGTCTTCGCACTACTTGTTCCCAGTTGTTGGAACAAGTTTGGTACAAGCTGTCAACAACTTGTAACAAGCTTGATGGAATTATCAGACATGTTGCAAGGTTGTTCATGTTACAAGTCTGATACAGTCATGATATAACAAGACTGTTACAAGGTTGACGACACAAGGTTGTAACAATATTGTTATATCATGACTGTAACGGACTTGTTGGAACAACCTTGTAACAAGTCTGATAATATCAATAAGGTTGTTACAAGTTGTTGACAGCTTGTTCCAAACTTGTTGACAACTTGGGACAAGCAGTGCTAACATAACTTGTTGACGGCTTGTTGGCAGACTTGTTACAAAATGTGAGATTTTTACGTATGTACCTTGATGATATGTTTTCGAGCAACTCCAAGACCAAATCGTGACAATCACGTTTGGTACAAACATATACAAAAATTGCATGGGTCTAATTATGTTGATGTACAATTTCTTGGTTTGTGCTCTGTCGCAACATAGTTGTGGTCTGTGAATACACTCACCAATGATTCATCAAAGTATGATATAAAAATGATAATCATGAATGCATTAAGGCCTGATTCCACGGGCGCTTTTTCTCGGCGAAATGCGAAATATTTCGCCTGTTTCTTTTGAATTGTGGGCAATCATGTAGAAATAATTTATTCGAGTAGTCGCAATTCAAAAGAAACAGGCGAAATATTTCGCATTTCGCCGAGAAAAAGCGCCTGTGGAATCAGGCCTTTAGCAATCACGTGACGTCGCCAAAATTTCAGCCAGACCTTTCGCATGGGAATGTCGTAAAAGTGAATTTGAATGAACACCGAAATTAAGTTGAATACAAAATCTATGGCTAAACTTATGGCTATCCTGATTAAAGAACCGTTTATAACTTGCCATGGTGAGACATCGAAGCTCGTTACAAGATAACAGGCCAAATATGCTTGACTCAAGATTACCGTGGAGTATTCGAATAAGATGTTCTGGATTTCTAGATCTGCGTTGAAACGACGAATACGCGGTGTATTTAAAGGTTGCACTTCTAATCTTGGCCCACAACATCTTTTATTGTAACATTCAACAAAAAACTTCCACATTTTTATGCGAATGTTAAGAGTTGCTTTACTAAGAACGTTCGAGACTCCATGTAACAATGATAAACCAATGAAAAGCCAGATACTTTGAAACCCCGACTGCATAGTTCGGTACAATACAATCGAACCCCCGCGAATGAAATAACACAACACAAAAGCACGATCAGGTGTAACAATCTCCGCACTCTTTCTGAGAACAAGATATTTTGCAATCGCAGTAACGGGTATGGTCATTCCTGGCGTGAGTGCGGCTATTATGGCCTTTTTTATCCTGTCTTCAGTTTTTGTAAAATACGTGATGATAACATAAACGTAGATATAAGGAAGTAAACAGGATCCCAGAAAAGCGAATGAAAGGATAAAAAAAATACGATAGACACTGCAAGATGTTCCCAGATTGACTTTTTTGAATTTCCGAGCGACAAGGATACCACAGCAGACAATGGAAATAACAAATATGATGTCACCAGGTAATCTAAAGGGAAATCATTTTTTGAGTCAGTGAATGTTGAGTTTTTAATCTTTATTTTCTCGAACTGGACCTAGTAATGCATGAAATAACTAGAGGGCACTCAGAGACTGCATACCTCCGCCCTACGCGCAAACTATTGAAGTAATCTATTGTTATTAGAATTTGAATGGCTGGTGCATATATTATACACGTCCTAACTACGCATTCAGTATATAAAGTTTTTTTTAATTGACCGGGAAAAACAAGACAAACTTTTGTTATTTCTCATTCAATTTTTAACCAAATTCAACCAAATTTTAATCAGCCTTCCTTAGCCGATGGGAAATGCATTCAAAAAATTTCGTATGAATATGTTTGGTAGTTCTTGAGTTATCGTGCTCACAGACAAACACACACACACACACACACACACACACACACACACACACACATACAAACCCAGATGATTACATTTACATTCATGCAAACAATGAATTATTTCGATCGTCGTACATCGTTCAGTATATTCTCGTTGTACATCGTTCTTTCAGTAATATTCTCGGTTGGTCTATACACCATGCTTTATTCAAACACAAGGTTGCATGACCAGAAATTTCAGATATGGATTCTGAGCATGCGCGAACTTTGACAAACAAAATGGCGGATGTATTATATATTATATATTATATATCAATCATAAGGATTGACGCACTTTTTTAAAATTTGATACCAAATCCGCTCGACTATCTACACCAGGGAAAACGAAAGCATATTAGCAAAGAAAAAAAAGCATCAATAATCTCGGGCGCGTGACTATATGGTTCATGGATCTCAAGAATATGGCTGTTTTCGAAGAGTAGGATGAGCAAGATTTCAATTTTCAAAAATATGCATTTGGAAGATCGTTTCATAGAATGAGCTTTGTCTTTCAAGCAATTTTTGTTTGAAGAAATGAGAAGAATTGAATCACTATATGGAAAATCGTGAAATGTTGATGATTTTTTGCCTTATTTTTTTTGGTATAATATGCACTGCTTTTCTTTTCAATGTAGCTGTAAGTTTCCTAGTGTAAAGGAGAGCAAATTAATTTGAGGGCGCGAAGCCGAAATTACTCAAAGTACTAATATTTCAGTGGCGTAGCGAAAGGGGGGTGGCGACCGCTCTCCCAATCGCCACAAAAACCATTCTGTGAAAAAGGCTAAATCCGTAGAGAAATTGGGGGTGGGGTGGGGTGTTGTACACGTTACATGCTCGAAGCTGAAACTGATTAAGTAGGTCTCGACAAAGGAAAACGACGATATACTGGAGAAACTTCATTTGTAAAATCTCGTTCAAGCAGTTGTAGATATGGTTATTCTGTATTGTATAAAAAAGCAACGCAATTTTGAGAATGCGGAAATGGTGTCTCATAGAACCTAGAATGATTCAGGTAAATTCACAAAATCACATCGGGATTTTCTTCACTGAGGGGAAATAATGTGACACTGACCCCTCCTCCTGTTTTTCAAGGTGACTTAGAAATGTCTGGGAAAATTAATGTCTTCGATGTACTTTATAATTTTTGGAATTCTGCAAGATTTCACCCCCAAAATGCTTGAAAATTTCAGGGACTCTAGGTTTCAAATGCATGCCCCTACACGATCTCACGCCTTCGGCGTTCGTTTCGCTCCCCCCCCCCCCAAAAAAAAAAGAAAG